CATATTGAATTCACTGTGGGAAGTTGGATTTTGTAATGTGGACATATTCAATAGAACTACTACATATTCATCTGATAGCAATGATTGCTACAGGTTACTGCTGATATTGGCTTCACTTTTCAAACCTGGATTTCTCACTGTGGTTCATTTAGGGCAGGGATGTCCAAACTGCGGCCCTCCAGCTGTGGTGGAACTACGAATCCCATGAGGCATTGCAAGATTCTCACAGCCACGACTCCCAGAGAGAGATGCTTCATGGGATTTGTAGTTTCACCACAGCTGGAGGGCCGCAGTTTGGACATTCCTGATTTAGGGACTAGGTGTGGACACTTTTTTTTTTTTTGTAGGAACCATCACACACTGGTTGCTATGGGAGACTCTTTGTTTCTTCAGTAATTTTTATGCAGGTTTACAATTTGCAATTTGAATTACGTTTCGAGTGTAATTTGCTTACGTTTCACAATTTTAGTTTTGTGGTTGATATATTTTAATTACCGTATTTTTCGCTCCATAAGACGCACTTTTTCCCCCCTAAAAGGAGGGGGAAAATGTGCCTGCATCTTATGGAGCGAATCCCGACGCCTGAGACATGCAGTTTCGGGCGCTGGGTGAGTAGTAGGAGCCACTGCTCATTTAATACGAGTGATCTAATGAGATCACTCATATTAAAGCCGAGAAGTGGCGATGATCGAGATCACCATAGAGCAGACGAAGAACTGACGTTCCTCGTCTGCTCTGTGTGATCACTGAGACCATGGCTCTGTAATCACAGCGCCACCTGTCTCAGCGGTCACTAACTGCAGCTTCTGTCACAGCTTCTGTCATAGAAGCTGTGACAGAAGCTACAGTCTGTCGAGTGCTCCATAAAGGCGCGCCGGACCTCCCTGCGTCCTATGGTCCGGTGCGTCTTATGGACCGCAAAATACGGTATTTTTTTTTTGAGGCTGAGATGTTGAGCGCTGTACTTATAACCAGCGCCCTTACATGCCATTAATGCAGTCATCTCCAGACATCAAGCTCCCGTAACATAATTAAACTAAAACTGAAAAAAGAGAAAGACATATTTTGTGGCCAACAAAAGGTACAGTGGGTGTCATGTGGGGTCTGTTCTTATGCAGGATTCTAAAAGTTGAATTTGGAGTACAGGACAACTTTTATTGCCAATACTTGCAATTGTATTTGTTTAAGCCGCACACGGATATGATATTCTTGATGCCACCGAGTAAAAGTAACCTGATAAACAAGTAATTGACTTTAGAGCTGTATTATTGTTTGAATCTACAGTATTGTGTTCTGTTTATTCCCATTGTATATTTTTTGTTAAATAACACTTGCTTTTAATAGCTTTGAATTTTCTGCTCCTAGCTGGTACACATCGGCTATACATACTGCATCTCTCAGCTTGGATTTTACATGCTTGTAATCCAGTTCGCTGTTTAATGTCAAAACCTACAATACCGTTTACCACCAGTAGTACATTTGTGGCCCCATACCTTTGTGGAGGACATATTACACAATCAAATCTTTTAACCATGTGTATAGTATACGTTGCCAAAACACTATTTGGGCTAGCCAATATACATAGTCAGGTTGAAAAAAAGACATCGTCCATGGAGTTCAACCTATAGAGATGAGGAGAAAAAAAAAAAAAAAGCCTAAAAACAGAACGCTACGCCCACAATTACCCCCTGTTGAGCCAGAGGAAGGCAAAAACCCCCTATAAAGCATGGTTCAATTTGCTCCAACAGGGGAAACAAAATCCTTCCTGATCCCATAAAGCAATCGGATATTCCCTGGATCTACAATCTCTGATGCTTAATATACCTCTAAGAACTCAATATCCAGTAATATTCTGGGCATTACATATACATTCTGTCCAGTAATAAAATATGAATAGACACTAAAATTGCTTTAACTTTGCTTTTATTAACTTACGGGGTGCGTGACGTACAGGACAAAGTGTATTGACCAACCACAAGAAGCAGAATAAGAGGTTTTTATGGTGGGATACTAACTGCTGAGGAATATCTATTCTAGATATCCTGAAAAGTGTTCCACATTGCTTCTTGCTAAATCAAGACAATCCTTGATTTAGGGTTTGAGCAACTGGCTGCAAGTTCCCCACAATATACACATTTCCACAAAAAAACAAAAACCCAACAAAACACTGTTGACATGGCCGTCAATTCTTCACAGATGTCTAAAGACATTTATCAAATCAAATTTACTGCTGAAAATTCAGCTTCAAATGTTGCCAATTTCTTCCATCTTGGGTCAAGTGCTTCTTCATTGTACAAGAAAACAAATGCAGCCGTCCCATTAATCACACCTGTGGTAGAAAATTAACTTATGAAACCAAAAAAAAACCAAAGGCACCAAATTATCAACACTGTCACACAACACCTAAAGCTTTTTCAGCACGTGTCCTGTTGTATGCATTGTAAAGCTGTGATATTAAAATGACGTGGGGGAAAGTGTTGTCCGGTACACTCAGACTCTACACCAACCTCTGATCTTTTTAAGTCATATTGGCTAGGCTTTATGTTGTATGTACTTCTATTATATATATAAAATTCTGCAAAGCTCAGGTGTTCACATGTTGTATTTATTCATATAGCTCACCAGTGGTATTTAAGCACTTTGTTTATACTTTGTATTTCTACTTATTTTCTGAGTAAATTTTACTCAAATTTTTTTGGGAAAAACCCCCAAAGGTTTGATAGCTATGATCAAGTACCCCACGGTTATTGAATTTGCCTAAAAGGATGCCTGTGAAGGTTTTTATTTACAGATGATATACTGTATCCAGCAGTAGTCAAATTCAACTGGACCCTAATGCTGAAGATGTTTCATGAGTGTCTGAAGCATACCCTATAATTTACAACCAACATGGAAGTGCATTGAAGCTGTGACTACTCAGAGTGGACGTTCATTAAAATGCCCATAAGGTCATTCAAAAACATGGGACGATCAAACAGAGAAGAGAAGCAGAAACATGATGTGTAATAGAGTCGTGCAATACAGTGGCTTAAAAAAGTATTCACCTCCTTGGCATTTTTTTTACTATTTTGCTGCATTACCACCTGGAATTAAAATGGATTTTTAATTTGGATTACATGTAATAGTCCAAAATAGTGAAAATAAACTGGTTTTAAAAAATAATTTAAAAAAACGGAAAAGTGGTGCCGGCATATGTATTCACCCCCTTTGGTTGCACCAGCTCTTATGTAGGAGCTTTGTAGCAATTGGCTTCGGAAGTTGCATAATTAGTTAAAGACCAACTGTATGCAAGCTAAGCGTCACATGATCTCTCTCTATATATATATATATATACACACACACACACACCTGTTCTGAAAGCCCCCAGAGTCTGCACCAGCACTGAGCAAGGAGTACAATGAAGACCAAGGAGCTCTCCAAAACAGGTCAGGGGCAAGGTTCTGGAGAAGTAAAGATTATGGTTGGGCTATAAAAAAAAAAAAAATCTGAAACTTTGAACATCCCACAGAGCACCATAAAATTCATTATTACAAAGAAAACGAAAAGAATATGGCACCACAACAAACCTGCCAAGAGAGGGCCACCCACCAAAAAAACTCACAGACCAGGGAAGGAAGGCATCAGAGAGGCAACAAAGAGACCAAATAGAACCCTGAGGAAGCTTCAAGTGGAAAATAAAGTATCTGTCCATACTTTAACCCATACACTCCACAGAGCTGGCCTTCACAGAAGAATGGCCAGAAAAAAGCCATTGCTTACAGAAAGAAATAAACAAACACATTTGCTGTTCACCAAAGGGCATTTGGGGATTCCCCAAACATATGTAAGAAGGCACTCTGGTCAGAGGACACTAAAATTGAGCTTTTTGGCCTTCAAGGAAAACGCTGAAGGGATGATGGATGGCAAAATTCTTGAGGGAATCCTGTTTCAGTCTGCCAGAGATTTGAGACTGGGACAGAGGTTCACCTTCCAGCAGGGTAATGATCCCAAGCATACTGCTTAAGCAACACTTGAGTGGTTTAGGAAGAAACATTTAAAGGTGGTCTAGAATGGCCTAGTTAGAGCTCAGACCTCAAGCCAATTGAGAATTTGTGGCATGACTTCAAGATGGATGGGTTTCCCTGGTGTACAGCAATCTTTAAGTAGCTGGAGCAGTTTTGCTTTGAAGAATGGACAAAAATCCCAGTGGCTAGATGTGCCAAATATATAGAGATGTGCCACAAGTAACTTGCAGCTGTAATTGCTGCAAAAGGTGGCTCTACAAAAGGTATTAACTTGGGGAGGTGAATAGTTGTGCACGCTCAAATTTTCTGTTTTTTTTTTGTCTTACTTCTTGCTTGTATCACAATAAACAATATTTTGCATCTTCAAATTGATAGGCATGTTGTTTAAATCAAATAATATAAACCCCCAAAAATTCAATTTTAATTCCAGGTGGTACTACAACAAAATAGGGAAAATGCCAACGGGTGAATACTTTTGCAAGCTACTGTATGTGGCTGGTGTGTCAGAAAAACCTTGCAGTAATTGCATCAATTTGTTTTTGAAACTAACCAAGAGAAACTTGTAAATCCAAAAAAAAAAACAACCAACTGCTGATCCCTTGTAGGGGTCTTGGTTCTCAGCATTGGCACAGCTGATTCGCAAGCTTGTAGCCCGTCAATCAGAACCTGGCCACACCAAGTCCTGCCCACCGCTTTCTTAAATGACAGAACTGCTTCTGTTGCTGAAACCCACCCACTGTGAGCAGCGGTGTCTGGGAGGGGTAGTGTGTGAGACACAAATTAATGAGAATTTAACTCAGTTGGGAGAAGAAAAGGACGTTTTTTGTTTACATTATGAGGCTTGTGCATCACATAATAATTGGATTTGGTACTTGTTTAGACTGTCATACAGGTTGTAAAAAAAAAAACAGAAGTGTTTTGCAAGAAATGTTGAGACATTTCCAATTATAGCACTGCGTATACAAACTCCATTTAAACTGGTTATATCAGAAACACTCACTGCTGAAGGAATTCAAGGCCACGGGGTAGATTACAGCCAGTGTATGCCCCATTTATTATGCTGTATTCAAGTAATGCAGTTGCACATGGATCCTAAAAAAAAAGTTGAAGATATTGTACATAAAACATGAAACTCTTAAAAAGGAAAATTATAAAATTAAATAGTAATATTTAAAATTTAGTAAAAGTATAATAACACAAGAACAGAAAGACCTTTAGTTGGCTACACAAAATACTGACTGACAGGATGTCTACACATGCCACATTTTAGGATTTAGTTTTCTATTTGGTAATGTAGGAAATGGTCATTTAGAATTCCAGTTAGAATTTGTAATTCAGAAAATGGTTGTTGTGAATTAGACACGGACTATTCCCCTGCAGAGGTTGTATCAACTTTTTTTTTAATGAGAACAACAAATCATCAGTAAATCAACCAGTAAGTTGCCCAAGGTTGCCCAAACTTTTGCACACAATTGTAAGAGTGCTCACACATTTAACACTACTACTAGCCTAATCTGAACGACATGGACAGAGCTCAAGCTGGTATTTTATATCTATAGTGTTATAAAGCTGCCGACGCACCCATGTTGCAGCACACCACAACATGTGTCGTGTGTTTCAAAAGTAGTGCAGATACATTTTGAACAGATAAAAGTGTCATTGAAAATAAATAGGTTGCCTTAATGCAAGTCAATACTAATTCTCATGTTGTAATGCACTGTGTGCTTAAACAGAGAAGGAATGAGCTTGGAATACCTATTTCCTAAGATTCGTAAAGTATAATCACAACTTCAGTCCTGCAGCTAAAAATGCAATGTAAATCGAGTGACATAAGGGCAATTTGAGGCATATTAAAATCCCCATTTGTATTTGTCAATGTGACCTCTCCCCATAAGTGATTCCAGCAATGAATATAGATTGGCGGCATGAACGTACCTTGACAAGGATATGAGGATTTCCCAGCACAATCAGAAGAGCCTTTGGTCGAGTTGTTGCCACATTGAATCGTTTTGGATTGGAAAGAAAACCTAGCAAGGTTCTTGAATCCTCATGAATAAATTCCTCACAAGATCGCACCTGTAAACCAACATTGGAATTTACTCCACAAACTTCATAGGAGCTTCTTCTGACATGGTTTTGGAAATCAGACATAACTCAGCAGACATCTGTTTTGAGTACAAACTGCTCAACCCTGTTTTTGTTTGACCTCTTTATTAACTGGCTCAAAGAAAAATAATTTCAGCTAATTTCTGAACAACTCCCCTAAAAAGTGAATTAAATCAGCATTTCCTGTAAATACAAATCTGAGTGCCATGCTGGTAAATCCTACTTCAGCTTCCACAGATTTTGAGCCTCTTAGGATTTTCAGTATAGACTATCCCAACACGAACATTGGGGTTGGAATAAGAAGCGAAGGCAGAAATTACATTAAAAAATAAAGTCAAATGTCACATCTTTCATCCAGTAAAATATTTTGGGTCTATTTTATGTCAGTAACTGGGAAGAACACCTTGACAAATGGTCTAGAAGCATATGTCATTCTGAGAATTAATGGATGGCTACAGAGCTGCCAACACAGATTAGCAAATGATCCTTGTTCACCAGATAGCTAACGGCATATTATAAAAATACAGTGAGGGGAATTATCAAAGCTGGAGCAGCTGTGCATGGCATCCAATCAGCTCATTTCAGTTTGTTCAGTTAAGGTTTGAAAATGAAAGAGAGAAGCCAATTGGTTGCCATGTACAACTGCTCCAGTTTTGATACATTCCCCCCAATGTGTGTATATGCCTGTGTAAATGTAACTAATGTTACTATAATCGGATAAACGTACTAGCTGCAAAGCCATACAAAAGGTAGAAAATATAAATGAATTTCAAGATTTGGTAATGCAGATTAGGCACAACAAAGCCAGACAAGAGTCATTTGTGCAACTGTAATACATCTCTAGATAAATTCTCTTCTTTCAACTCCTCGATAACTCCTGCTAGTAAAAAAGGCTTCCAATACTTTTTTGTTGCTGATTCAACCTTTATTGCTAACAAACCATAGCTAGGTTTCCATGGCAGAAAAAAAATGAAAATTCTCTTTCCACTGTTTAGGAGCTTATTACTGCTTCCTTCTTTGTTATGAAGCATTTGTCTAGCTGGAGAAACAGTATCCCACAGAAGTAAGTACACCCCTCACATTTTTGTAAATATTTTATTATATCATTTCATATGAGGACACAGCAGAAATGACACTTTGCTACAATGTAAAGTAGTGAGTGTACAGCTTGTATATCAGTGTACATTTGCTGTCCCCTCAAAATAACACACAGCCATTAATGTCTAAACCGCTGGCAACAAAAGCGAGTACACCCCTAAGTGTCAATATTTTGTGGGGCCACCATTATTTTCCAGCACTGCCTTAACCCTCTTGGGCATGGAGTTCACCAGAGCTTCACAGGTTGCCACTGGAGTCCTCTTCCATGACGACATCACGGAGCTGGTGGATGTTAGAGACCTTGCGCTCCACCACCTTCCGTTTGAGCATGCCCCACAGATGCTCAATAGGGTTTAGGTCTGGAGACATGCTTGGCCAGTCCATCACCCTCAGCTTCTTTAGCAAGGCAGTGGTCATCTTGGAGGTGTGTTTGGGGTCGTTATCATGTTGGAATACTGCCCTGCGGCCCAGTCTCCGAAGGGAGGGGATCATGCTCTGCTTCAGTATGTCACAGTACATGTTGGCATTCATGGTTCCCTCAATGAACTGTAGCTCCCCAGTGCCGGCAACACTCATGCAGCCCCAGACCATGACACTCCCACCACCATGCTTGACTGTAGGCAAGACACACTTGTCTTTGAACTCCTCACCTGGTTGCCGCCACACACGCTTGACACCATCTGAACCAAATAAGTTTATCTTGGTCTCATCAGACCACAGTACATGGTTCCAGTAATCCATGTCCTTAGTCTGCTTGTCTTCAGCAAACTGTTTGCGGGCTTTCTTGTGCATCATCTTTACAACAGGCTTCCTTCTGAGACGACAGCCATGCAGACCAATTTGATGCAGTGTGCGGCGTATGGTCTGAGCACTGACAGGCTGACCCCGCACCCCTTCAACATCTGCAGCAACGCTGGCATTACTCATACGTCTATTTCCCCAAAGACAACCTCTGGATATGACGCAGAGCATGTGCACTCAACTTCTTTGGTCGACCATGGCGAGGCCTATTCTGAGTGGAACCTGTCCTGTTAAACCGCTGTATGGTCTTGGCCACCATGCTGCAGCTCAGTTTCAGGGTCTTGGCAATCTTGTTATAGCCCAGGCCATCTTTATGTAGAGCAACAATTCTTTTTTTCAGATCCTCAGAGAGTTCTTTGCCATGAGGTGCCATGTTGAACTTCCAGTGACCAGTATGAGAGAGTGAGAGCGATACCAAATTTAACACACCTGCTTCCCATTCACACCTGAGACCTTGTAACACTAACGAGTCACATGACACCGGGGAGGGAAAATGGCTAATTGGGCCCAATTTGGACATTTTCACTTAGGGGTGTACTCACTGTTGTTGCCAGCGGTTTAGACATTAATTGCTGTGTGTTGTTATTTTGAGGGGACAGCAAATGTACACTGATATACAAGCTGTACACTCACTACTTTACATTGTAGCAAAGTGTCATCACATGAAATGATATAAAATAGTTAAACTAATGTGAGGGGTGTACTCACTTCTGTGAGATACTGTATAACCTCCATTTCATATATGGAAATACTGACTTGAAATTCAAAAACGATTTCACTCCTATTCAGGCAAAACCATTCTCGCTTGCTGCTGAAATTTCTCTCTGGCCCTCCTGCTAGAAGTACCCTGGCAAAGTGCAGAGACAGGCTGCTCTTGGATTACAGCAACTCATAGCAGGCTACCTCCCCCTTGGTTTTAGGCTTAAAACAGCAGCACCTACATAGGTGGAAACACATAGCCTAAAACACTGTTTATGCATATACATGGATTTTTTTGTAATGCATTCAAAAAGAGAATTAAAACTTTTGATTGATTAGACCTTATATTGAATATTGTTTATTAGGTCATTTATAACAGTTATTTTTGGAACTAATAATTATTTATATCTAGTAGCGATGCACCGAAATTAAATTTTTAGACCAAAACCGAAAATGAAATGGAAAGTGATCTGAATTGGAGAATTTTTCCAAATCGGCTATTTTGGCCTAGATTATTCACTTCTCCTGCCTTCTCCAAGCTCTTCACCCTTTTGTGAATAGACCTATAAGTCTTGATCGTTGAGTGCTTGTAACCAGCTCTCCATCCTGACTCGCCTGTCACAGGAGCTTGGCCTGCAGTGATCGCTGTCTCCTCCCCGCACCGCTCGGCCTCCTGACAGCTTCTCTCCTCCCCACACAGCCCAGCTCAGCCTCCTGAAAGATCTTCCTCCCCAGCTGGATCCCCTGTGTCCCTTCAGATCCCCACGGTCTCTGCCGACACAGGCAGGGGAGAGCAACATGGATTGGAGGGGACACAGACAGGCGTCCAGCGAGGAGGAGAGAAGCTAGGGATGCACAGCATGTTTGGCCATTATGGTACCAATGCCAATAGTACTATATAGTACTATATGGTACTATTGGCATTTGCCCGTAGTACCATTTTCCTAGTACCACACTTCATTAAGCAATAAAATAAAACCACAAATAAAGCTTATGTCCCAACCATAAATGTATACAGTACATACCATTGAAATAATGATTACAAGGAACTCTTGGCCCTGAAATTCTTCTACTGATCCCACTTTAATGTCCATCAGGTCAGCAGTCCGCAAAAGTGTTCTTATTTTTTCAGCCTGGAAATAAAACTACTTTAGCTAGTTATCGGTTACAGTATAAATAGCATAATATTATAGACTGCATTTTGGTATTTACATATTACACTCCTAAAGCTATATACCTCTATCATCAATATAAGAAAACATACTAACAATCTAACAGGATCCCTAAAGCTGAGCTCTAGAATAAGCAAATATTGTCTAAATACAAGGGGCACGTGAAGTCTTAAATATTGGCGTGCTTTGTGCATTTCCTCCAGATCCATGCAGTCATCCGGTGTGAAACGTTGTGTCTGTGCAGGAGCTTCCTGTAATAAAGACCAGTCTCTCCTTGTGCAGGAAGACTACAGGAGGGGGCAGATACCAGACCAAGTAGCCTGTAGTAGGCTGGGTCTCTTCTACAGCTCTGCGCTATGTACAGGCGATGCACAGCACAGTGATGTGGTCACTGATACTTGAAAAAGGTAAAAACTGTTTTAACCCCTTCGTGACTGACGACGTACAGTGTACGTCGCCAGCATCGGGGCTGTTTAAACAGACTCCCGGCGACTTTTGCCGCCGGGACTCTGTTTAAAAATCAGCTTTATTTAACAAGCAGTGAAATGTGGTCCGCAGTGTGCATCACATATTATACAGAGTCTTTTTGTGCTGCGTACTGTGCACTTCATCATATCCCAGGGACATTTTCATATCCCTTCACATGTGGATGTTAGGGAAGTTTTGTTTTCACAAAGAAGATTTTCCAAAAATTTAACGGTTTTATGGGGCCATTATAGATACAAATATTAATAAATCACCTGGTGAGGAGGAGTCATGGAGCCGGCCCCCCTGGCCAATCAGGATGCCGTGTCACTACACACCGCCCGACTTCCTTAATGGGACTTCCAGTATCGGAGAGTGCCGAAAAAAAATATTTATCCCTAATCCACATTTAATTAGCTTAAAAGCATCTTGTTCTACAACATCAATTTATTAAACATTATAGTTGTAGTATTTGTAAAAGTAGTGCGGTCTTAGAGGTATGGAAATGTGTTTTAGACTAGCAATAGTGTACAATTACTGACAGTGGAGCCCTGAGACAAGTGGGGGAGAAGCCCTCTGTGGACCATCTTAGAAAATCATTGCATATGTGGGATAGTTGTAAAGCAATGTCTCCATTTCTACAACTCGCAACAACCAAGAAAAAAGAAACAGGAACACAGTTCAAAGACAGATTGCTTGCCATGGAACATTACGCTAAGTGATGTGACGTCTACAGGTGTGATTTAGACATACTATAAGTTGTGACTCAATGGACTCTTCAACTACTCAAAAACACGGTACACCATTCCTATTACTTAACGCACATACCTGTTTTCGGTAAGGTGTAATCACGCCAATGTCTTTAGTAGAAACTGATGTAGTAACATGTTTTGCAAGTATACAGCAGTATCTCATAACCTGAACAGCTTCAGAGGGATTAAACCAGGATGGGTTGCTTCCTTCTCGCATCTCTGTACCCTGTGAAATGAACAGAAGATGTTTTCTGACCCTAAATAAAAGCAATCATGGCAGAATATCTAGATTTTTCAGATGAAGAACTTTGACCTTAGTGGATACAAGCCAAACATTGCCCTTTCATATTAGCTGCCTTAATTCCTGAATAGCTACGCTAAATGAGTTCAACGTACAATTGAAAAAAAAATACTGCCACAAGTTACAGTTCTATTCAAATGTTTGTGTATGCCTTGTCAAATGAAGGTTAACATGGCCTCTGCAGGGAATAAAGATATAGTTCTGCTAATGTAATATACAATTTAAACTACATGCACTGCACTACCCACAATTGTGTTGCATAATTTAAGTATTGAGGTTGCAACAAGGTTTATCCAACTCTACATAGTGGAAAGATAAACCATTCCAGAATGCTATATTTCATTACACTTTCCAAGTAGTATTTAACATAAAGGGCTAGTGTAGATGGGAATACTTTCAAGTGAAATCATCTTCCTATTAAGATCAGTTTGAAATGCTCAGGAGTTCAATACTCAGAAAGGATGTCCTTGAGCTGGAAAAAGTCCAGAAGAGGGCAACCAAACTCATTAAAGGGGTTCGAGGATCTGAACTATATAACAAGGTTGTTAAAATTAAATATGTTCTCGTTGGAGGTTAGGAGATTAAGGTGGGGCATGATTTTTATGTACAAACTATTCAAGGGTGACAGCAACCTCAGTAACAAACTGTTTACTGTCAGCTCTGTAACAAAGACCAGAGGGCACGAGCTAAAATTGGTGGAAAAAAAATTTCACCACACAGGGCGCAAGGGGTTCTTCACAGTTAGAGTGGTTAAGGTCTGGAACTCGCTGCCACAGGAAGTGATTTCAGCTAAGAGTGTGGAATCATTCAAGAGACTCCTGGACTAGTTCCTGGGAGACCAGAACATAAAGAGGTACAGGTATAGCTAAGAGAAAAATCACACATGGACTCGTATAAACGCACACATCAGCTCATAAATGCATACACACAATAGGTTGGACTTGATGGACTTATGTCTTTATTCAACCTCAAATACTATGTAACTAAGTGCTTCTGACCCATTTCTAAACTCCTCATACTGCATCAAGCTGTTTTTATATTTCCAATGACTTGTTTGGGAAGAAGAAAAGCCCATGTGCACAAGCAGTAAAGTAATATGAGGAATATTGTAGCACTGTACCAAAGAAACGTCCCGTCATTTATAAAATAAAAAAATACAGGCAATTTTCTTTCTAGATCTATGACTAAATTAAGCTACTTTTATTAGGATTGTGTTTTACTATGGATCTATTTATAAAGGATTCACTGTGGAATTAGCCCAGAAATTCCTTTTAGCGTTGTAAATCCAAATTACATTTGAAGACATTTGTCTGGCACCCTACATTTATTCTATTTATAATAGAAAGTGCAGCCAGTTAACAGCTTTCAAATGTCACAAATACAGTAAGCCGTCAAACATCTTTTCAGCCCGCTAGTAAATTTTTCAGGTCTGAGCTCTCCACAATGCCAGAAATCCATTTGAAAATATATTTCAGCACTGGGAGGGTTGATGCCATTTAGTGTACCCTCCTCCTCCCTAAGATAACTAGCTCAGCGCATCAGACATATGGGCTGGTATCACTACAGCAAAAAGGCTGGAAGCCTGCAGCCCCCGCCCCCATCTATGTAACAACCGTCAGTCACCCTTTTTGTTTTTAAAGAAGGTGAATATTATAGTAAAGGCCTTCTCCTATTAAAGAACAGATGCTACTGAAAGTCAGGAGATGTGATTTTCACTGTGCAAATGTTCACTAATTTTAATTTATAAAATAGGGTGGATGGCAGGTGAATTGACCATTGAATTGTCTATAAAGTCTTATGATTTGCTCTGTAGGCAAGATGCACATTGTACTTAATTTAATTTCTGTAAAACAGTTACAATAAAACCAATAAAGCTACATACCCTTATGCCGTGGAAAATGATTGGGAAGCCCTTTTTGGGCAGTTTGTCCCATCTCAGGAGTTTATTTACCACAGTTGGATCTGCACAGACCTCCAGTTCTTTGTGGTAGAAAAGCTTGGAAGGTAGATGGAGCAGAGCAGGATGTGACCGATAATTTTTCATTAGTTTTGTGATCTTTAAAAAGGAAAAAAAAAAACAAAAAACAACAACCCAAAAACAAATTACTATTTATTTCTAATTTAGTAATGTGACATACCCATTTGCTAACAAATTATTTGTAAAAAAATTGAAAACAAATTGGTGTAAGTTGTCCAGTTCCAACTATTATGCGATGATACACATACCAACAATGGATTGTAGTTTCCACATGCTCCATGGGTTTCTTCATCTCGTAGGTAAATGGACAAAGACATCAGCCGCTCCAATAGTGATATGTTAAGCCCATATGCCAAAGCACATTTAGACTTTATTACTGGTCCAAGCTGCATAGGATCTCCTGCAAGAATGATCTACCAAAAGCTACAAGTCAGGTATGAAGTACTTATATTAAATGGAAAGAGTAAAAAAAAAAATGTTAAAGTACCTGTCCAGTTACTTCTGATACTATACCCAGAGGTATGAGGCACTCTGGTTCACTTGCCTGCCCAGCTTCATCAACAAATACGTGTGTAAAGTGTCCAACCCTGGGGGGAAAAAAAGTAAAAAACAATAATTTTGCTTCATTTTATTGTCATATCTTTTTGGATTTGATGGAATCATTTGGTACTCCGTATTGCATTACCAGTATCTCACAAGTTAGAAGCTGGCATATCCATGGATTTTAATCCAAAAACTACCAGACTGAGCTAAGTGAGGGATTAAGACCTACTTGTTACTATTGTGCAAACCTTCTGACACAAAAAGTCTATATTCCACTAGAGTTACATATTTGCATTATTAGATTACGGCTACCTAACTTTACTGGCACTGAAAGTTAAGGTTTGCGGCAGGTTGGCCGGGTCCGTGGATCACAAATCCCAAAAATGTATCTTTGTCCCAAAAATCACATGCATCTTATTAAGCATGTACGCCATACATAAGGCTCCAAAGCAAAAATGTTACAAATAAAAACCTACTCCAACTTAGGAGGCTAACCAACATAGGATTCCCGCTCTATCCTACTGGGCAGCCAAGCTGTAACCAGTAGAGAAAATGAACAAGAAAAATAAACAGCCAGATACCTTTGTCTCTTAGTCTCTGTGTCTCACCCCAGCTCCTCTCCAGTGAGCCCCATTTTCTCTGTGCACTGGGATCTTGTAGATCCTTAGATCCTTAAATTACAGACCTGAGAGCAGAGTTTTAACCCCTTCTATCCAGGGAACACTGAAAGGTCTATACTGGAGCCAATATAGCAGTGTTTATAGCATGCCCCTTGCTGCGCCCCATCTTAGGATAAACTGCCGGCTGCGACAGGTCTCCGATCCAGCAGCAACAGCCAGCCTGCAATTGACCATATTAAATTGCAGTAGCCAATAACAGGCTGGTTATTGCACCCGCCCACTGCCGGCTGTCACTCAGCAGAGAAGGACCTGAAGGAGAATTTTCTCCTTCAGGGCCCTCCTCTGCTGATTGACAGCTGGCAGTGGGTGGGTGCAATAGCCAGCCTGCTAATGGCTATTGCAATAGCAGGCTGGCTATTGTTACCAGCCACTGCCTTCAGTGTTTACATTCAGCTGCCTTAGCAAGCAGCTATCATTCCCCAGCTAATAGACTAGGGGTCTATTAGCTGGGGAATGATAGCTGCTTGCTAAGGGATGCCACCTTAAAGAGAACACGTCATCTCCAAATGACAAAAAAAAAAGAAGTTTAAAAAAAGGTTAAATAACATAAAAATACCAAAAAAAGAAAAAACTGAAGTCCCTTGCCCCAGTGAAAGCGAAACACTCCTGCAAAAAAAAACCTGGCTCCTAACTTTTTTAGCTGGCTCCTGGATCCAAAGAAAATTTGTCAAGCCCTGCTTTAAAATATAAGGATGACGAGGAGTTACAAGGAGGTTTTCATGGATTTATAACCATCTGTGTGTATTGCTGGTATATGCTAAGACATTTGCGAACACAATTGGAATCCTATTACTCTGGACACCTGTCTAGCCTTACAAAGAACTCATAAGTGGTAATACAATCTTTCCTTGTTACAAATGGGTTTGACTTTCAGCCATTATATGGCAACATAGTAACAATGTTTGGAAAGAGTGCATCTTTCACTACCAAGGCATGGATAAATTTGAGAAGATATGAGTAGACAAAAATACTATTTCTTTGTTTGCTGAGGGAGGTTCCGCTATAGTTTATGAATGTGTTTGTCTGTTTAACATACATTATATTGCAAAAAGTATTGGGACGCCTGTCTTCACACACACACATGAACTTTAATGGCATCCCTAGTCCGTAGGGTTCAATATTGAGTTGGCCCACCCTTTGCAGCTATAACAGCTTCAACTCTTCTGGGAAGGCTGTCCACAAGGTTTAGGAGTGTGCGATGCAGCTGCTCGGCCATGGAAACCCATTCCATGAAGCTCTCTACGCACTGTTGTTGTGCCAATCTGAAGGCCACGTGAAGTTTGGAGGTCTGTAGCTATTGATTCTGCAGACAGTTGGCGACTTCTGTGCACTATGCGCTTCAGCATGTGCTGACCCCGCTGTGTCATTTTACGTGTCCGAGTTGCTGTTGTTCCCAGTTGCGTCCACTTTGTTATTATACCACTAACAGTTGACCGTGAAATATTTAGTAGCAAGGAAATGTCACGGATGGACTTATTGCACAGGTAGCAACCTATCATGGTACCACGCTTTTAAATCACAGCACTTTATTAATTTATTAGTGGTTGAAACTAGAGCACCTCAGCTTTCATGATTTTTTTTTCTTGTCTACTTAGCAAAATATTTATGTATTAATAGAGTTCAAACCATTTTGCACTAGCCGCACACTAAAACAATCCTGTTTGGGGGGCGTGGCTAACTGGCAATGTGAGAGGACGCATCCCAGGAGAGCTCCGTGTCCCACCCGCCATTCGTCCTGCTGAATTAGTGCCCACTTGCCTGATATGGGGAAGGATAGACCCCCTAGGTCGGCCCACAAGTCCTCTGGCCAGAAGGGGAAGAAAAAGAAACCCTCGGCCTCAATCCAGGGTTTTTTTGGCCGGCCGGCCGCTCCGAGCGCTGGATCCAAGATGGCGCCGCGTGACAGCGTGTGGGCCGCGGCCTTCCCAGAGTCGTCCCCTGAAGGGGACACGGGGGTTCGGCTGCAGGATTACTCCCCTCCGGAGTCACCTACCATGTCTCTGGGGACACAGGGGAGCCTGGAGCTGCCGGCGGCTCCTTCCACCCGCAGGCCGGCGGACGCTGTGAGTACCTGGGGGGATCGGGCCCAGTCCGGGCTGCAGCCTAGCCATGAGGATAGCTAAGTCCCCGGTGTTCCCGCAATGCACCCCGTTTGAATTACTGTGTGTAGAACCGCCTTCCTCCAAAGGCTTGATCTCTGCTATATATGGAATTCTAGGTGAGGACAAACCGGGTGAATTTACGAGGCACTCATACATGCGGAGGTGGTAGGAGCTGCTGGGAGTGTCCATTTCACAGGAGCAGTGGGAGGGTATTTGGAGAGCGGCATCTACATCCTCCATCTGCTCTACTTACAAGGAAAGTCAGTATAAAGTACTATACCATTGGTACCACACCCCTGAGTTTCTCCATAATATATACCCGGAGGTCTCCTCCCTATGCTGGCGCTGCAAGTCCTGTTCCATATATTTTGGCAGTGCAGTCGGATCGAGCCCTATTGGAGGAGTGTACGGGATATACTGGAGACCCTTCTTAAACGTAGAATCCCACTGGATCCACTGCACTATCTGCTGGGCTATCCTCTCATCGGGGTCCACAAATACGATAAAAAGCTGTCATCCCATATCCTGATAGCGGCAAGATGCCTCATTGCCCTTCACTGGAAGCGCACCACCCCGCCGTCTGACCTGGACCTGTATACTAGAATCAAAGATGTCCAAAAATTAGAATACCTGACGGCTAGACTAAATAACACCTGGAGGTTGCATAATAAGGTGTGGGAGGCCTGGGATGCTCTGGAGGGGGATCAGGGGATGTCGTCCGAGGTGGATGGAGATGCGAGATGAAGCCAGTAACAAGCTTTTACTATCCTTTATTTCTCTTATTGCTTCCTTTTTTCTGTTCTGTGTCTTTTCTTCTCCAGGGTTCTGTCCTGACCACCGTTTTTTGTTCTCCTGGTTCATGCGTAACACCAGATCGAGCTCATTTCAGGATTACAGTATTGCACTTCACCTCTAACCCGATATACTGCTGACCATAGGTATGGTGCGGGAAATGGATGTATACCTCTGATTGCTAAAGTCTATTATGTTACTTTTTCATTTCATGAGAGGTACTACCTGTTGGCCAGAGTTATTACATTCCATGTGGGTTGCATGTATTTCCTCCTGTTGGGGTTCCGACACTGCAGTGGGTTTAACTGTGTATTGTTGCTTGTTACACAATGTATACATGGGTTTGGTCCGCATGACCTCTTATTTCTTGTTTCACGACTTTGGTAATTTCTGTATTGTCTGTTATAAAACTCAATAAAAATTGTCAATTTGAAAAAAAAAAAAAAAAACAATCCTCTTTTACCTTGCGTGCAAGTGTTCATTAGGTACCAGCGGTGGGGGTGGTGCCTTGAGCTGTTACAATCCAAGGCCCAGGCTACTTTTTTGTAACTTTATTGATATGTCAAAGTGACATTTAATTCATCCCTAGGCACTGTGATGCAAAAGCAGAGAGTAACTGCAGTTGAGTCAGGTTCATTGCAGAAAAATGCAGCATGTGTCACACTCCTTGCTGCAGTGGGAACAGAAGGACTGAATTCATCTTAGAATCCTCTTCCTCTCTTATAGGGTGCCACTATAAGAGCAGAGGAGAAGCATGCTGAAAGTACAGTGCACATTACAGCCCAGGAAAGTAGATTACAACAGCTGTATTTGTTGTGCTGAAATGTGCTTTTGCAAACATGCCAATGGGGAGGTCAGGGATTTTTACCCACACACCTGTGCTCCTTATGGACAGCCACAAATTTAGGAGCCTTTTCTTTTCAAATCATTCCCATTCAGACCACTGTCAGCATGGAACCGCAGATGCAGTGGCAGCTTTGCTGCCACTGCAGCAACAGCAGTGATAGGCTGAGCAGTTCCGGCTCCTGCAGGAGCATGTTAACGGAGATCTGAATAGGGAACAATTTTTAACTACAGAGGGCCCCCACCGATCCTCACCCCAGGTCTGAGCCACATAGCAGCTACATGGGCGACTATTACCGTAGTACCACCACTAATTATCTGTCATGAAAAATAAGTTTGACTAAATTTATTAGGCTATATAACCTTTATTCCTCTATATGCTTCACCTGAATAATTATGTGTTTTGATATTCAATAAAAACTAAAATTTGACAAGTACTTCACCTCACCCGACTGCCTTCAATACCCTCCCAGACATATAACACTTACGTGCAACCCGAAAACTTCTTTCTCTTCCTTCTCCCCTTCGGCCTGTCTTTTCTCTGTCTTCCACTGTCCCCCTCCCCCCCTGTTGTATTGTCTGTTAGTCTTGTCAGGTGCCACAGTTTGACACGCTCGGACGCCCATAACGGGTGCAGCTACTGAGTACATCCCAATCAGAGCGCCTGCCAACTTTCTACACACTGAGGCGCTATTAGCACCTTTGGGAATAGAGCCCTAAGCTCAAATTATCGAGCGCACGACACTGCGCATGGTAGTGGAGCCTTCTCCTTGCTCACACTGGTAGATGAATGCTGTACACCAGAGGCCTGCTGTAGGAATGTATGCCTGAAATGTAAAAAACTATAATACCTCTCGATAACATACATGAACCACCTAACGTCCTCAAACTATTGTACTAATTAGGGATGCACCGATACCAGTATCGATATCAGTGCCGATTCCGAGTATTTGGGCAAGTACTCGTACTCGCCCAAATGCTCAGATGCCTAGCACGAGTACTTCCAGTATCAGGAAGCCGGGCAGCGTGTAATGACACGCTGCCTGATTGGCCAGCTTCCCGACCAATCAGGAAGCTGGCCTTGTGAGGTAAGGTTACCTTACCTTAGTATGTGCAGGCTGTCACCCCCGGGGCCTCTCCAGCCAGAGCCGTCCAATCAGGAAGCCGGGCAGCGTGTAATGACACGCTGCCTGATTGGCCAGCTTCCCGACCAATCAGGAAGCTGGCCTTGTGAGGTAAGGTTACCTTACCTTAGTATGTGCAGGCTGTCACCCCCGGGGCCTCTCCAGCCAGAGCCGTCCAATCAGGAAGCCGGGCGCCGTCTAATGACGCGACACCCTGGTTTCTGATTTGCCAGGAAGCTGGCTTCATGCTCCCTCGTCATCTCATGACGAGAGCATGGAGCCGGCCTACCGGCCAATCAGAAAGCAGGGCGTCGCGTCATTACACGGCGCCCGGCTTCCTGATTGGCCGGCCAGACGGCTCCGGCTGGGTACCGGACGAAGGCCGCGTTCTCACTGGAGAGGCCCCGGGGGTGACAGGCTGCACATAGTAAGGTAAGAGGGGACTTTCTTGTTAATTGGGAAGCCGGGTGGCGACTCTTTACACGCTGCCCGGCTAATCAGGAAGCCAGGTGGCGAGTCGTTACACGCCACCTGGCTTCCTGAATGGGACTTCCGTTACTCGGTAATTGGTATCGGCGAGTACCGAAAGAAAATGATCGGTACTCGGTACCAAAAAAACGGTATCGGTGCATCCCTAGTACTAATTATATTTATTACTGTGCGGCGTTGCTGCTTTCTCTTCCGTCCCTGTAACAATTACTCAACAGTTTTGTACCTTCTAAAATGGCACCAAATGTATCCTTGTATGTGAAAATGTCTTCTATATTTGTAAACCAATAAAAATGTATTTGGAAAAAAACTAAAATTTGAATTTTTACAATTGGTCATATTATGGTATTGTGAAAGTCTGGCTTACCAATTTGTAAAGAATCTACAGTACATCATGGCACAGCAGTACACAATGGAACAGGATATTACCAGCTCACATAAATTTGCAGATTATGAAGATTAACTATATTAAAAAAGTATCACAATGTAGAAATATTCAGGCAAATGGTCAGGATTACTAATTATTTAACCTTCAGAATTTCTTAACCATCAGTCAACAGGTTTAGCATGTAACCAACCTTAAACCAATCTGATAAAACATTCCAGCACTACTGCATGTGGATATTATAATCCGAAAACGTGAGGCCTTTTGAATATCTTCCCCTGATCCACAGTATGGCTTCACCAAGTCAGGTATAGCCTGAGAACAAAATATAAGATAAAAGTTTACTCACTGATAAAGATTTCAAGAGGTGGGGGTTGAATAAACCTACTGCATTTGTAGAATTGACAGTTTTTTTGTAACTTATGGAAGATTTCTCTGTCACTGAAGGTTCAAAACCTTTAATGCAATGGAGCCAAAGCTGGCAATATGAGGCCTGATAATACCTAGGGGTGATTAGGTCATGTGCAGTCCTAGCCAAACGTTTTGAAAATGACACAAATATTAATTTTCACAAAGTCTGCTGCTTCAGTGTTTTAAGATCTTCTTGTCAGATGCTACTATGGTATACTGAAGTATAATTACAAGCATTGCATAAGTGTCAAAGGCTTTTATTGACAATTACATAAAGTTTATGCAAAGAATCAAAATTTGCAGTGTTGACCCTTCTTATTCAAAACCTCTGCAATTCGCCCTGGCATGCTGTCAGTCAACTTCTGGGCCACATCCTGACTGATGGCAGCCCATTCTTGCATAATCAATGCTTGGATTTTGTCAGAATTTGTGGGGGGTGTTTTTTTTGTTCACCCGCCTTTTGAGGCTTGACCACAAGTTCTCAACGGGATTAAGGTCTGGGGAGTTTCTTGGCCATGGACCCAAAATTTTGATGTTTTGTTCTCCAAGCCACTTAGTTATCACTTTTGCCTTATGGCAAGGTGCTCCATCATGCTGGAAAAGGCATTGTGTGTCACCAAACTATTCTTGAATGGTTGGGAGAAGTTGCTCTTGGAGGGTGTTTGTGTACCATTCTTTATTCATGGCTGTGTTCTTAGGCAAAATTGTGAGTGAGCCCACTCCCTTGGCTGAGAAGCAACCCCACACATAAATGGTCGCAGGATGCTTTACTGTTGGTATGACACAGGAATAATGGTAGCGCTCACCTTTTCTTCTCCGGACAAGGTATTTTCTGGATGCCCCAAACAATCGGAAAAGGGCTTCATCAGAGAAAATGACTTTCCCCCAATCCTCAGCAGTCCAATCCCTGTACCTTTTGTAGAATATCAATCTGTCCCTAATGTTTTTCCTGGAGAGAAGTGGCTTCTTTGCGGCCCTTCTTGACACCAGGCCATCCTCCAAAAGTCTTCGCCTCAATGTGTGTGCAGATGCACTCACACCTGCCTGCTGCCATTCCTGAGCAAGCTCTGCATTGGTGGTGTCCCGATCCCGCAGCTGAATCAAATTTAGGAGACGGACCTCGCGCTTGCTGGACTTTCTTGGGCCCCCTGAATCCTTCTTCACAACAGTTGAACCTCTCTCCTTGAAGATACGATAAATGGTTGATTTAGGTGCAATTTTAGTAGCAGCAATATCCTTGCCTGTGAATCCCTTTTTGTGCAAAGCGATGATGACTGCACGTGTTTCCTTGCAGGTAACCATGGTTAACAGAGGAAGAACAATGATTTCAAGCACCACCCTCCCTTTAAAGCTTATAGTCTACTATTCTAACTAGGGCTGCAACAACTAATCGACATAATCGATTATAATCGATTATTGAAAAAGTTGCCAACTTTTTCAATAATCGATGAATCGAATTCCGATCAGTTGGAACTTAAATCAGCATGACAAAGTGGTCTCGAGCCTTGTCCTCGTCAACACTGACACCTGTGTTAACGAGAGAAAATCACTGACATGTCAGCTGGTCCTTTTGTGGCAGGGCTGTAATGCAGTGTAAATGTTTTTTGGGGGATTAAGTTCATTGCAATTAATCTGATCACTGTTCATAACATTCTGGAGTGTATGCAAATTGCCATCATACAAAAACTGAAGCAGCAGACTCTGTGAAAATTAATATTTGTGTCATTCTCAAAACGTGAAAAGAAGAAAAGTGGCTGTGGGCACAGAGCACATGATCAGTCTAATCATGTGTTTGTTTTGTTTTCAGGGAGGAGAGGCAATATGTCATTGTAAAAGCATCAAGCAAAGCATTGCACTTGTTGGAAAGTAAACTTATAGTTTCCAGCGTTTAAGAATAGGCAGAGCTCATATTTAGCTATGCCACAACCAACACTTTTCAAAAAGCCAAAGACAGAAAAAGGACTTGCTTGCATCGAGTAGATTATATATTCCCAAAATAGCAAAACAATTAAAGATTAGATGCAGAAGCTGCAGGTATGCCAACTGTGTACACATGAAGTCAAGCACACGTCCAAGGAGTAAAAGTCAACAGTAGATAGCAGGAAGCAAAAAGGGCAAGACCCAGTAAGCAAAACACAGTAGCGGGAAAGCTAGTAAAGCCAGACTCCATGTGGCTAAAGGTCCCCACACACCTTACGATAATCGTACGATAATCGCGGGAAATCCCGCGATCGTCCGATTATCGTAAGGTGTGTGGAAGCCATGCGACATCTACTACTGTAAGGTCGCACGACTTATAACTTACGGACATGTTCGAAAACCCGCCGAGCATCGTACGAGGTTCGGCGGGTTTGTGGCTTGTTCGTACGATAAAAGCCATACGGGCCGGTGTGCGCAAGCGCACACTGCCCGTTCGGCATTGCGGTCATCGGAAGCCTGCCCCTCAGGGGGCGTGGCTTGCGATCATCGCAAGTACGATCTGCCTATGCAAGGTAGGCAGATCGTACCTTTTTTTAAGTATCTTACAACCATCGCAAGACAAAAGTCTTGCGATGGTTGTAAGGTGTGTGCCCAGCCTAAGCAAATAATGATATCCAAAGCTTGTAATTGCAAGTAGCTTAATGTCCACCATAAATATGAGAGTGCAATTAAAGGTTTACATATCAGCCTTGATTAGCACAGGTTTCTAGTGTTTATAGTTTAAAACACTCACTGTTCCACTATCAAGCGATGGACCTTCAAGTATGGAACATATTGTATGGTGGTGCAATAAAATAATAATAGGCTGAAAAGCCACACGCCTGCAGATACACTGTAAAAATTGTCCAGGGCCATGAACCTAAACTTGCGTATTGTGCCATGTCTAAACATTGCATGTTTACCAACGACGTTTACCTGATGTTATACCTGTAACATTCACTAATATGGACATTAAATTGTCTGTTTCTCTTGTCAATGTGGAGTCAAATCTAACGCAGTCACAGCTAAACAAATATACGACTCTGGTGGTTTCACAGCTGACAAAATGCAGCAAATAAAAATACTTACCATTCAGAAGTACATGTGGATAGTTGTCATCCACATATTTACACTTAATACAGCCGTCGCACTTGAAAAGGGCCTCAATTTACACAAAAATTTACGTTTTGTATTCATTTCAAAATGGCTTTGTACTAAACTATCATTCATTGAACTAGCCTGTCTAAAGGTAATTCAAAGAACTGGTGGGGTACTAGGTTCCAAGGAATCTCCCCTAAGACTCCTGACATGTTCCCTTTTCTGATGATCAAAAGTTTGGGGAAAAGCATTGCACAGAAGTTTATCTTCATACCCTTTCCCTTTGTTAGAACAGCGAATACTTTGCACCAAAAACTATTTATGGGTGGGAACACATGGGCTCTCATGTTAACTAGAGCCCTGCCCTTTGGGCTTTTTTATTGCATGGCCTCACTTGTTCAGTGAAAGTCCTATAAAAAAATGCAATAAGGTGAAATATGTCAGGAATGTGGTGGCATCTGCCTGGAAATGGCTGCCCACTTTTTGCCACGCTGATGGACTGGACCTATGAGTAATTACTTATGGCAAAGCTTGTTGGCATTCTTACAGTGTATCTACAGGTATTAATGCACTACTCTTTAATCTGCAGCTAGTCTGTGGATTTTCAATCTATATTCAATTGCACTACCACACAATATGTTCCATGAAGATGCATTGCTTGAAAGTGAAATAGGGAGTGTTTTAAAGCACAAGCAGTATCCGCCTGAGCTTATCAGTGGCTGATATGTACACCTTTATTGCTATGTACTCTCATATTCATGGTGGACATTAGCTAGTTATGTTGCCATTGCAAGCTTTGGATATCAGTATTTGCTTACCCACATGAAGTCTGACTGACTAGCTTTTCCACTAATGTTACTTGCTCTTACACATTAATACACATGCTTTCTTTGAACTAAATTAATTTATTATGTAATGTAATGTAATAAATGAGTGGTTCTAACCAGTACTGGAGTATTTATTGGGGTTGCTTTTTTCCCCTTCTACTTTTTAACAAACACGGCACTGAGCCAAATTACCTCTTCTTGGCGACTGAAAGCATTCACCCTAACCATGGTTCCAGGTTCCAAATGTCCGCTTTCATGAAGACGGAGGCAGACAAGATCTGCAGCACTGTTAGATGGAGCACACACCAATATACGACTATCTGACAAAGCATAATGGATCTACAAAGTATAATGATTAAATGATCAGTGTCTGCTCAGAGAAAACTGCACAAGATGCAAGATGTTTCTACATTACATACCTCATCAACACTATAAAAATACATTAAAGTATATGTAAACCCTTAAGGCTCATTGACATTTAGGTACTGTGTTGTGTTTACAAATGCACTTAAATGCATGTTGTGTCATGATTTCAGACAGCCCTTGGACATTGTAGTGTTTTTTGATGCATTGCATCACAATGTATGACCATGAATTGTGGTGTGCTGCAGTGTGGGTAAGTTTCACTGTGCAATGGGATGGCATTTGCAATGAAAGCGCTTCTACATGTTGTAGTAATGCAAGGTAAAAATGCATGTTTTACTGTGTGTTACTGCATCACATAACGCTTAGTAAATTACACTTATTATCCTAAAGCACCATGTATCAAATAATTGCAATGTTGTGGGTTTTTTTTTTTTTTTTAGAAATATAGGTTTTACTTTTTTCTTCTCCTCCAGCCTCTTGGCAGCCACTACCTGTCTACATACATTTGCTCTTTTGGCAGCTGTACATCATTGCTCAGGGTTGGCTTCCCGATAGCGACACTGGCAAACCAGGCCTACATAATGTGAGATGGCAGGCTGCCTATAGAATGAATCAGATGTCTATGTGATAACTCAGGAGAGCAAATGGGAGACAGGGGAGAAGCATTGTCAGCCTAAAACCGCAAATGCGTGTGAACGAGGACCTTCATTGGTGAATCACAAGGTATTTGAAAAAATAACATGTAGATTTAAAAATGACTTGTACAATATTAATCCTTAACTTGTTAGAATTTCAAGACATTTTAGAAATTGGGTTTACATCTACTTTCAGATGTAATACTTCTGCTCACTGATCGAATGGCCACATTTTGTTTACAGACTCCAACCTGATCCATCCCTTAAAGCAAAATGATAAAATGGTAGCAAATCATTTTCCAGTATAACTGGAACATGAAGTTTGTGCCCTTTACTAAAATTACACATTCCCTGAACCTGTAACTTACTTAGTAAAACAAAAAAAACACAACTATGCATTATACAGAACAACAAATAATATAACAGAAATATGTTACATTTTTGCCACATTTTAATGCTGCACAAGGTCACAACACAAAAAAGTCACCTGCAAAATAGCTTCAATGACTGTGACTGTTTTTCCTGTTCCCGGGGGTCCAAACAGAATGTATGGAGAAGGACGGCACTCCCCACTGAGTATCCTCCTCACTGCGAGCTTCTGTTGATCATTTAGTACCGGATTAAAGAACTGGTTCATTATCTTTGCAGCGGATTCCTTACCTGTACAAGCCAATTTTAAGCCATTTATGGTATTACTAAACAGAAACAAACATACAACTTGGACACATATGCTCCCCTGTCACATTTTTCTTTTTGTAAGTATGTTCCCTTTCAATTGTTTCACTTCTAATAATTTAGTTAATCTGCAAGGCAACTGCATTATCCCAGATCTCAAATGTGAATATTTTCATTGCACTTAATACTGTTAACTATTTAACATAATTTCAATACAAATCCCATATCAGCACTGAGGAATTTTGTACATCTTTTATCCCATAATCCATTGCACGTATGATCATTGTTGAGTGTGCAAAAATAAAACACAAAACTAAAAATAAGATTTCTATACATACTGTAAAAGGTTTTCTTGAAGTCCACTGAAGGTGACATGAATTCTGAAATAGTTGATGTCCAAAGCAGTCCAACTGAAGGTTGAGCAATATAAAATGATGCAGGAATCATCCAAAGGAATCAACACCTGATTTAAGGCTAGATGAAGAAAGGGCCATACCAGACAACGAAGCTACCACAACCAAGGTGAGAACAAGAGGATCAAACTGATGTTGCACACCAGGACAGACTAACACCCAAAATAAACAATGGGTCCCATCCAGTGAAACTGGAGGACCAACAAACAAAAACAGGTGGAAAACATAAAAGGGGCAAAAAATTGTTACTGGGCCAATCCCAAGAAAAAGAGCAGATTACGATAGATGGTCCCAGAAGAAGGCGCAAGCCTAGCGTTCCTTATGCTTAATTTCAGGGAAAGGAAGACCATAATGAAAGAGGTTGCCTGATCAGACATCCAACTTACAATGCGATGGCCACAGGTGAGATCCCTCAGAGCATAACATTCCAATTGTTAGAAGGGAATGAGCCACAAGACTGGTAGAAACAGAAGTTTACTAAAGAGACCTGCCTAACTGGTTAGCACCTATACGATTCTATACGATTCTAAACTTACCTCTAAGGGGAATAGCAACCTACACCGAGCAGCGAGAGGTAGGAATCCTACGGTTTCTAGTTTAAACGTCTACCTGATTAAAGAGAGAAGGAAGACATCTAAAAGTGACTTTTCAGAAGACTGAAGCTTGGTTGCAGAAAGAGGACCTCTCAGTTATCAGGTCCCATAGAGGAAATCTGCAGCAGGGTCCTAGCAAATGCTTTCTGATGATTGACCAGGAGAATTACTGGATGGATACTTACAGGATGAGGTCTCACCCTTCAGTAGAGATTATTCCTACCTTGGCTCTAGAAAAGTGCAGTCAGGGAAGACACCCCCTGCTCTGTTTGTGAACCTGGGGACGCACCCCTATGCAGAAGACTGAGCAGAGGGGTTAAAGCTTAGGGGGGTATATAGCTTCAGAGGGAGGATCCTACAGGGTATCTCCAGTCCCCATAGAAGAATTAGTTTAACCCAAAAGCAAAGTGTAAAATATTGCAGCCTACCAATCCTTAAATGTAATGGGGTGACAAGTGAAACGCTTTAGTGGGTTTTAGATGGTCGGGGGTTTGCAGTCCTAATGTTCAGCAGTTTATACACTGCTATAAGGATTTGCTGTGCATTTCAATATAGTCTGAAGCATTGGAACTCTTTGGAAGTGCAGTCTGTTCATACTATGCTTTAAACAGTGGATGTAATGGGAAAACCTTTACAGCTGTGGGAGAGATACACTAAGACACTAGGCCTGAGACAGCAGGCTGATCCTCTAAACGCAGGGTATCACGTAATGCAGGGCTCATGGCAGAAAGTTTAAAAAATGCACTCAGCAGTACCAACTGAAAGCTTCCAGTGCTTCAGCCCACTTAGCCTACATAAGTCTTTAGAGACAGGGTCACACCAAAGGCTATGCCACAACTCTGGACCTGGAAATTGCTCTGTAGCCAACAGTGCACAAAGGGGAGGAAAGAGCCACAATGCAGCCCAGTTCCAGAAGGTCACATTCCATGCTGGCTCCACAATTTCTAAGTCCAGCAGGGGCTGGGTATGGCCTTCAAAGCAGTTGCGGAGCATATGCCTATCTGGATAGCTGCTATGTAGAGACTAGCTTGAACAGTATTGTAGAAATCTTAAATTAAGTTGCTGAGGAAAAAAATATCAGCAGTGTATCAAGCATCTTGAATATAGATCAAAAATATAAAAGGCTAACAAAAAAAATAATAATGTATCCTCTTAACCGCGCTAGAACCTCCCTTGTGTATTTATCTATAAGCTGCAGTGCCTAGGAAAGTGAAAAAAAAACACTGTGAAAAATATAACTTCACTGTGCTATTACATTAACTAAAAAAATAAAAGCAGTGTCTAATTAAATAAATCATACAATGTATCTACCACATTGTATTCTCATGTAAATCATATCACTGTGACAATAGCAGTTAAAAATAAATAAATAAAAACACACCACCATTTATGTAAAACAGACTCTTAAAATCCACCAATACCCTTCTAATAGTCTACCATGTGGGTCAAATCTTTTTGAGAATTATAGCAAAACCAATAACAATCAGGTAAATGGGATAGTTAATGACAATCAGCATGGGTGCAGGAAAGATCGTTCCTGCCTAACTAATTTGTTAACTTTTTATGAGGGGGTGAGTAGAGACATTGATGGAGGCAGGCCGGTAGATGTGGTATATCTGGACTTCGCAAAGGCTTTTGATACGGTACCACACAAACGCTTGCTACACAAGCCGAGAGCTATGGGCGTAGATGAAGTGGTGTGTACATGGATAGAGAACTGGCTACGGGAGCGGGTCCAGAGGGTATCTGTAAATGGCACCTTTTCAGACTGGGCTAGTGTAATGAGCGGTGTGCCTCAGGGTTCTGTGCTGGGTCCCATATTGTTCAACTTATTTATTAATGACATCGGGGAGGGTGTTAACAGCGATATTTCCGTGTTTGCGGATGACACCAAAATTGGGAGGGTAATAGACACGGACTTAGACATTATAACATTACAGGAGGACCTGGATAAAATAGGGGAGTGGGCATTAATGTGGCAGATGAGGTTTAATGT